ATTTTTAACCGGGCTCTTAAACTATAAATAGTTTAAGGCAGATTGCAAGAATCGATGATCCACCCTATGAGTCTTGTGGATCACATACCAACCGAACAGTGAACTGTCGGGTGGGTGATATCCAGTTTGGATCCCGTACATACGTTTTGACCCCAAATTTCTGAATTGATCACATAGATATAACTTAGAGTTTTTCTAGATATCCTTGATAATCATCTTGAATTTCCAAATGGGTATATCTTAGAGTTCTTCTACATATCCTTAATATTAAACATCATTTTTGTGATCATCAATATATCCATTTTTAGTCATGATTTAATAATTCATAAACATTACTTAAATCAGAATATTAAAGCTTAATCATCATAATCATAAATCAATAATATTCATCATAATCATCAATCAATAATGATAACAATTAGCGGCCTAGCATCGAGTGTTAACTCCTTAGCTTACCGTCATATGTCACATAAGGTTTTTATTCGTCAAAACATCATTTTTATTTCCATAAATCATATTTACATTGATCATAATTGATTGGTATCAAGAATAGGATTTTTAAAACTCAAAAAAATATTTTCAGAAATATTTTCGGACTGAATCAGTCGGGGGATCAATCCAGCACACAAGATCGATCCACCCTGTGGAATCAATCCCAGGGGATCGATCTACCCACCTAGATTGATCATATTGACAGATTTTCAGAGGTTATTGTTTCATCGTCTTCTTCCTCGGGTCCATTTTTGAAAATACCATTTTTAGTCACCAAACTTCAATTAAACTATATAGAAATGTTCTCCAAGGTTCAAAGATCATTTTGGTATCATTGATTCATATTTTTAACAACAATTTCAAGGTTTATGATTCTTGGTTCTTCAAATATGTCAAACACAAAACTCAACTAAACGACCGTTTATGAATGTAGAAACGATCTATACGAACATTCTAGTCACCAGATATATCTACGGGCTTACCTCAAAGCTTAACGAAGGTTTTGGAAATTTTCCGGCGAAACTTCCAGCGAGGTTTGTGACTAGATTCAGCAACTTCACACCAAATTGACAGCACCACAACACTCTTCACACTCCAAGAAACTCACGCAAGAAGAAAGAAGGAAAATGGTGAAGAATTGAGGTAAGAGAGTATTTCTTATATAGGAATGGTGATGGGGAAGAAGCCAAGTTTACGTTGCTTCTCTCCCTTTTCTTATGCAATCAATCGGCTGAGTGGAGGGAGCGGCGACGTTCAAAGATTTACACGTCTTCCCTCATTGTGACTAATATTGGTCCCTATCAGTGTACACTTTTTGGTCCAACTTTCCCCGAATTAAAATGCGATTGAATTGTTGCGGTCTGACAGTCAAACTCTACACAATGATATAACTTTTATTATTTGTTGACAGACTTTATAAAATACTTGTTTATGGGTCCTTCTTGGTAATTAATTAATCATAAATTAATTAATTTTGATAAGCCTATTTTCAGGGTGTTACAGATCATACCTAGCCACCAAAATTTTTTCAAATACTTGGATTGATAATTTCGCACGGCCTAGATACACGTACTTGGCATGGGAAGTGAGGGACTCATGATGGGACCCCTAGTTTGGGGTATACGGCCCAGTTAATTATCATTGGTCCAACACGAAAGCCCAATTAACTTCGAATGATTAAAACACACTCAGCCAGGAAAAACAGACTCTATAGAGTGTGGGCGAGCTGAACTAAGTCTTGCCATTACAAAACCACACACGACCTTTGCCTAAAAAACATGAACTCGTACCCGGTCGTCTACCTGTACGGCACAAAGCCCGAACGTCAAAGATGTATACTCGGCCTCTGCAATGGTATGCACTCGGCCTCTTTATGTATAACAGATTTGAACATCAGAGGAAAAGACTAAATCAGGAAATCGCGAGAAGAAGCATTGCTTCCCCTATGCCCTGTTTAAATCTTCGGGCCCACTCAAGTACATTTCTCATGTGTGGTACACCCGTACATTATTGATATATGTATTTACACTCCTTGTACTATTGATAGAGACCTGTATCTTCTAGGCCACCACCAACGATCATGACATGGGCTCTGTCCAAAACAAACAGCTAAAGGATAAACGCATACGATGAATTACTTGGATAATGTAACGCCATAAAACATGGCCTAAAAGTTATTTTATGATAAAAGAATTTTCAAAATAATATTTTGACCCAAAAAGTATTATTTCTATGATTGACCAAAATGAAGGAATTTCTGGAGTCAATGATTTTTTTTGTTAAAATTGAGTTTTATGGATAAGTCTCGATGAGACGAATCTAACGGTATATTTTATGAATAAATCTGATGTGCAGATTTTGACCTTTGACATTTTAAATATGTAATTTGCATAAAAATGGGGAGTGGTTAAAGATGTGAACTTTTGTAAAATGTAATATTGAAATAAATTATTTAAATTGAATAATATTGATTGAGTATGGGAGTACTTTTAATTATATATCAATTAATTGAATTTTGACTCTGTCAAAATCAACACCCAAAAATATCGTGTCAGAAAAAGTGTTTCAAAAAAATAATTTGATTATGTCAAAATTCTTGTTTGACATTTTGATACCAAAAATCCAATCGGTTTTCAATTTAGAGCCATTTGGATGAAAAAGTGCATACCGTTTGGGATAAATTTATCAGTTTGGACTAAAAGCCAAACTTCATTTTCCTAAAATCCCTACTCAATCAGGATCAATCCCTATTTTCTCCACTAGCCAACCTAAAGATTTCTTAAATCTTACTAAAGTCATAATAACTCCATAATGAGGATATCTCCACTACATAATAATGCTATATAATTAGTACTCCCTTCTTTTACAAATCCTTCTTACTATCAACTCCCACTTCTCCTCTCTTTCGTACAACATAAATGAGGAGAGAACACAACAGCAATACTCCAATTTTGTGCTGAGGAAGAAGAAAAAGAAGAAGAAGCAAGAAACCATCCAAAGTTCCAAAATCCTGAGCTCAAACACAGCAGCTTACTTCTACGTGAATTCTGTAATTTTCTATCCATTATCTCAAAATACTTTCTATATCATAGTTGTAGCCTCATTTCTTACGAATACAACCCAACAAACGGTTCGCGATTTTGTTAAGAAACGAAGGAGATATGGCTAAAATACTGGGACTGCGCCAGTGGTGGCGAGCTCCTTGGGTTCGGTTAAGTCTTTTCACATATTCATTTCATTCCGTTCAAGACACTTAGCGTAAACTCTCTAACGATCATTAGGAACTTTGAGACGGTATCGTAGGGAAGGTTTTATGAAGGAATCTTGAAGTTGATAAGTTGATCGTTGGAGTCGTCGTTCATTAAAGTATTTAAAATCCTGGCAGCACATATTAGCCCACTTGTGAGCATTTTTACACTCTAAACTTCATTATTTCAATCTAACTTCTGCACGAAAATCGTAGCCTTATGCCTTACAAATCCGTAGCTTCAAACAGTTCACAATTTCTTTGAGTAACGAAGGAGATATGGCCCGATAACCAGGGCTAGTATAGAGGTGACGGGAAGTGATGGGTTTTAAGATTTCCGACGTTGTTTTCTCTCTCGTTCGTTCATTGAAATTTATCTCGTTGATTTCTAGGTCGGCACCATGATTTTAAATAACTTTAGAAAGCATTGGAATGATCCTTGAACTTATTGATTCATATATATTTGAAAATATAAATATTTGATATTCATATTCACCAAACTTGTTTTGTTGTTAAAGTTTCAAATAAATCATTTGTGAATGATTTATGGACATTTGAAAACATTTTTATGAAGCTAGTTTAAAGATTAGAAGCTTAAATGGTATTTTGAGAAATTAGATCGAGGTTGAAGATGATGAATAATGATTGCGTCTCTCTTGCGCGTATACGGTAGCTACATACTACCGTTTAAACGGTACCAAGGTACTGTGTCACGGTACCAAGGTACCGTGTCACGGTACCAAGGTACCGTGTCACGGTATCAAGGTACCGTATCCATGTACCCTACGATGAGAATTTTTCAAAAATGGTAAGGTTGATCGTTCGAACCCAACGGTCAACCGTTACGATTATTTTAAGTCCAAAAATGCTATTTTTGAAGCTATAAAATCCTATCTTTCTTACCAATCAATTATGATCAATGTGAAAATGATTTCAAGAAATAAATATGATGTTTCGACAAATTCAAGAACCCTATGTAATGTATGAAGGTAAGCTAAAGTGTTCACACTCGATACTAGGCTGTTACTTGTTATTGAATATTATGATGATTATTATGAAATGTTGATTTTGATCGAACCTTGATGAATATTCTGATTAAAATGATGATTATGAATGATTGAACCATGTTTAGAAATGAATGTAGTGATGATTATGAAAATAATATGTTTTGTTAAGGGTATCTAGAATAACTCTAAGATATACCATGTTGATATTGATTTTGAAGGGTATCCAGAAGAACTCTAAGATATACCCATTTAGTTAGGCCTTGCGGGTATGATGCCTGGTGGCCAGGGTTAAAACGTACGTACGGGATCCACAAACCAAACTTGAGTACCTACTCGTTTGGGGGTACCACTCACCCGACAGTGAACATTCCGTTGTTCGGTTTCTGGTTGACCTTAAGTGTAACGCCATGAAAACCGGCTTAGTAGTTAGTCGCAAATTTTATAAAAAAAATAAATATATTATTTATTGACTCCAAAAGATGAATTATTTGTAAAGTTGACCATTTTAATTAAAAATTAGGTTTTCGAGTAGATCTCGTAAAATGGTGACCAACGTTATATAGTTTGTTAAGTTTGAACTTTTGTGTAAAACGTGATGAGTAAAATAGACACTTCAGTTCAATATATAAATATAAAGAATTTTATAATATAATATTATAAATAATAATAATAAAGAAAAATGTACTTTTCGTAATCCTAATCGAATTGGAGCTTATACCCATTATAAATAAAAGTAGTCCCTTCTTTACGTTAGAATCATCTTCTGTTTCTCCTTCTTCTGTCGCGCAACGGAACCGAGCAGACCAAGAGTTTCGTCCGGAAATCTTCGCCGGAGTTCTACAAGGGTTTAATTCGTCAATCGAAGTGAGTGATTTATCTCTCGTTAAAATTAATTCGTAGATTAGGATTCGTTAATATGTTTTCAATCGATTGACGTTGGATTTGCGATTTCGAGTAGAGATTTCGTTGAATTGAATTAGAAATCATAGTATGGAATTTAGTTATGTTCTCTCTCCGTCCTACTCTGTTCGGATTTGCTTCGCCGCCGGAAGATTGGACGTCGTTAAAGCTGTTGTCCTTGACGCCGCCAGTGCTAGGTTGGATTACTGTGGTTGCCGCAGTGGAGTCGCCATCAGTCGTTGCCTTACTCCGCTGGGTACGCTTGGTGCTATTCTTGTTCGCCGTAAGGAAGTCGGGGAGGAAGACGAGTCTGCAAATAGATTGGAAATATGAATTTTGTTTTTGTAATTATAATTTGACCCCTAGGATTTTAATGGTTTGCAATTCGGTTTTTCCTTATAATTTGTCCTTAAAAAGTTTGCAATTGCTACAAATCAACCCAAATTAGTATGTAATGAATTGGTGATAATTAAGTGTTGATTTGGAACCATGAAATAGGCCACTTAGTATATCTAGTCAAATTTTAGTTAAATGGTATATTGAAAATCACAAATAGGATTGGGATTAGAAATTAAGGTCATGTAGGTGACGGCGTACACCTGGTGGTCTCGAGGGTTAAAAACGTGCGCACGGTGGTCATTGACCTCTGGCGAGAGCCAACGGGGGCCTCAACCCCCTCCATTGTGAGAACTTTGGAGTTATGAGTGTGGGTTTGGGCGAGAGCCTGAAATCCATTACTCCCGTAAGTATGAATTTGATTGTATTAGCAAGCAGATGGAGTAAGTATGGATAAGAACTAAACCGAATTATAAGGATATATAGGTAGAGTTGGATAATGATATGAAATATTTGCACTAAATAGCACTAAAACTTAAGTCATTTCCCTAAATAGCACTTAAATTGTTTTATTCCTTAAATAACACTTAATAATGTCCATAATGTCCTGTGATGACAAATATTTGCTTGAATAATGACTAATGCATAATGACTAAAAATGCTACATTGGTAAGAAAAACACATGTGGTGCTATTTGAAGAAAGTCATTATGTTTTAGTGCTATTTAAGTAAATTTCTCATATGAAATATTTGCTGATTCTTCTGATATTGTTTGATTATATATTAATGGGTGCTAGTCTATGAGTTAGTTTTAGCGTTAGATACTTTCACTCTCCCTATTTTTACAGGTAGGGATCAAGGATTGGATGATAAGCAGCCTGGAGGACAGTGATGTGTGACGCTGGTGGATGGCTGATGCTATTTTTTATTTAAACTAAATATAGATTGTTGAATTTGTTTATTTAAATTACTAGAATGTTGAATGTTGTTTTCAAAGGCTCCCACAATGTTTGTTTTATTAACTCTGATTAAACGATGAATTGTTTCTAAATAAATATGAATGTTTGTTTTATTTTTAAATGTTTTTAAAATATTATGCATGTGAATACCAAATTAGTAGCAACCCGATTCGCTAACTCGTTGGTTCGGATTGCGCGGGTTGGGGTGTTACATTAAGCGAAAGTAAGTTTAAGATTTTGAAAACCTCTTTTAAAAATCTTTATCCTAAACTAGGTCTAGCTTAAGGGTTGGTTAGGTACCTTAAACTAGAATTAGTTTAGAATTAAATTGGTCTTAGACTAAAAATAGTTTAAGAGCATTGTTATGATTTGACCTTAGCTTGGAATAAGTTAAGAGCAATTATTTTTTATAAAACTTGATAAGAAATTATGTGTGACAAATGATGAATATTGTGATAATAAAAATGACATGTGATTATTGTGAAGTGTGGACTGATTCCTATATAAGTTTGAATGATGTTGTGTAACACCCTAATCTGTCCAGGTCTGCAACCCCTTTCAGATTAAAGTATTAACTTGGTAATCGCAAAAATTTAAAACATTTCAAACACTTTTATTTATCACAATAATATTTTTAATAATATAAACAGTACGGAGTTTTCAATATTGCGGAAGCTTAACAATCATAATCACAAACATAATTTATTTATGTTCTTTAATTCAAAACCAACACATCCATTCCGACAATCTCGCCTCCGTCTGCCTCTAGGATCACGTCACTTCATTAACCTGCGTGTAGCAAATAAAACATACTACACGCTCAGCGTTGAAGCTGAGTAAGCATATCTAATGCATCGAACATCCATATAAACTGAATCTAAATTCATAATCAAATCATTTGATATCATGCACATAATGTTCAGTTCAGATAATCAATAATTATTAAAAATTATTCATCATGCATTATTCAACATTTATATTCACATTCAATGTTCATC